GAAAATTGCAAATTTCGCAAGGCTATATTATCCGCATTTTACAACATTTCGCAACGAAACTTTGGAATATTACTAATTTTGTGATGCTCTTTCAGGCTGTGATGAAATTTTTGTCTAGACTTGTTTAGATCAAAATTTAGTCTATAATGCAAATGGTCCATTGTGATATTACGTTCTTAGGCTTCTTAACCGTGTTTATCCTAACCCACTCTGTCAACTTTCCCTGGAAGGAAAATTCTTACACTGAATCACTCAGGGAGAGCTGTTTATTGAGTTTCTTACTCACTGGTAAGCGAATTTCCAAAACAGGCTATTGTCAATTGATAGGGGATCCGAGGTAACTACGATTTTAATGTCATTATGTAAAGGTAGCACTTTCTCCTCAATTATTTTAAGACCTTGAGTAGAGGTCCGACCGAGGATTGAACCCGGCTCTCCCAGCTTCAAAGGCAAGCGTGGTGACCACAATACGACAAGCACAGTGCTGATTATATAAACAGATAGAGCGATCCAGTATAAATAACATTATTTAGGTTCTCAGAAAGACCTACATGGAAGTTGCTTCTTCCTTGCATATTGGGAGCTGAAATTTCTTGATGAATCACAGAGAGATTACGAGCAAACGTTGATAGCGAACCTTGAAGATCGTCACTCATCACCCTAGAGCAAATCAGGAATTTCAGTATGAAAATATTTCACTTGCGGTAGCTCTGGAATCGTAATCGTACGCAGCGCGTAACATAATACTGGTTTACACTATCAAAGCTTCTGTGATCACAGTACTCAGTACGTACTGTGTTTAAATCATTATCATTATTCATTTCTTTAAAAATTTCACGGTTTATGAACACAGAAATATTTGCATAGCATGACCAAATTGTCGGGCTGGCTTCGCCATGGAAAAGTATGAATTTTGCAACAAGTTTTGTAACAAGTGTTTAAGGGAAATGCAACTTTCCTATGCAAAATTCCTACTGTGATCACAGAAACTTTGCTACTGTAAACCAGCCTATATACAAAGTGCAGGTTAGTGGTTCCATTTTGGAATTTTGGTAAGGATAAGGGCTCTAGGTTTCAAAAATGTATTGTCTAAAACAATATGAAATGTGAGTCGCCACTTTTAATTATTTCATCAACTTGCCGCAAGTAAGACAGCACACCAACCTGCAATTTACATGGTCCTTGAGTGATCATAAGGGATGGATTACACGTGTGAGGCATTTTCAGTTTGAATGTTGAAATAGGGCAGGGAGATTTAAAATATGCAAGCTCAAAACCGACACTTACATCATTGTGAGGAACTCTTTTTTATAACTATCTACCAAACAAAATATTGTTCCAGCTTTTTCCTACAAAAAATAAAAAAACTATTACTATGATTTTCTAAAAACATATTGTAAAATATGTTAGTAGTTCATATATTTGAGACAACAGTTAGTTAAGGTGGCCCTGAAAGTGAGCAACTTTCCTTGGGCCCCATACGTGAAAGAGGCCCCAATTTGAGAGGGATCAAAAATTGAACTGGCCTTCTCTTACGTTGCCCACACCCACCCACACCCCATTGAAGTTGGGCACTGGTACAAGATCGTTGCAATTTACAGTGGTGCCGACCAAAAATTATACCATCATCTTTCTGTGGCCATGCATGTATGTTTGCATGATGGAAATGCGTTCATACTAACCTTCATGTCAAATCCAATGCCATGAGCTCGACACATTTGAAAGAAGACACTGTAGTGTATTACACTCAAATTGCTGTGTTGAAGTCTGGAACTGAATATGGCATATCGGTATGGATTGGGCGGTGGCTGGAAAATAAAAGTTTGAAATTCCAGTTTTTTAGACTTATTTGGATGTGCACATTCCCTTAATAGATGTTCACTATTGCCATGGCTTGATGGACACACAAGCTCTATCAGCAAGGGAGACAATGCCACCATTTTACCCCAACCGCCCATGACTTAACCACAGAAAACAAGCCACAGGCAACCGCGTGAAAACAGACAAAACCTGGTCCTCACTACGACGCAAGCATAAACACAAGCAAGTGGAATGCTTTGATGTTCTTATGCTTGTGTTGTTCTCACTGTGTCCTCACTATACCACATAAGATAAAGGGTAAGCATAAACAACAACATAAATACCGTAAAGAAAAGAACGCAAGGTTTTGATTTTTATGCTGGCGTCGCGGTCAGGATCAGACTTAAAGAAGCAGACCGTTCCCACTTTGGGAAAGTTAAGGCGGATTTCCATTCAGTGCAAAATGTCGCATGCATGATGGTTTTTTTGCGATCGCTTTCTTTTGAAACATGTACAGTCAACTGCAGCTAATGAGATTTGTTTGTATTTCAAAAGAAAGCGATCGCAAAAAGTCGATCGCGCAACATTTTGCACTGAATGGAAATCCTCCTTAAGTTATACCTTCCGACAGATTATTTTTCGGATAGGTCTTGTATTTGGGGCCGAAGTACGTACACTGTTTAGGCGTTAACATTGCATAGGGACGGTAATATCAAGAGCTATACACTAGATCTGGTTGAAGATATCTGAAGTTAAAAAGGTAACACTTGCACTTTTTTCTGCGATTTTCTTCTTCTGATGGATGTGAACGAGTAGATAAGTTAGAAATTTTCCGAGTATATGTACCCTCATCTGAATATTTATAACTCCTCCACTCGTTCACATCCATCAAAAGAACAAAATCGCAGCAAAACTTGCAAGTCCAAAGGGCATGAAGAAATATCTGGTCTGAATGAATCGATTTCTTGCACCCAATCAATTCCTAATCCCTAAAATTCAAACCTTTATTCTAGCCCATGCAATAATTGTGATCTTAAATCTTACCAGAACCTTTGCCTAACCGCAATGCTAACCCCAATCTAACCTTGATTCTCACGCCATCGCACGAATAAAACAAAGAAACCAATACCTCTTCCTGAACGATGGTTTTTCGTCGTCTTGATATAGTCAGAGTTGGTTCTGGTTTATTAACGGTTACAGGAACTTGAAATATACTTCGTTCTGGATCAAATGTTCCGTTTGTGACATACTTCATTAATTTCATCTGAGCCAAACTGTCGCTGTGCGTGAGCTTGAGGTCCACAGCCCATAATACTTGCTCCATCTGAAAATTTGGTGAAATACAGTCGAACTAAGGGACCCGGTCATTATTTATGGTGGGCGGGGGGGCCCCAAAGAGAAATTTTTTCTTGGCGAAAAATTATTTGCTGATCCAACTGTTAAAAAGCCAAAAAATTTTACCCAACCTCAAATATCAATTAAAAAATAATTATCCACCCCTGGCCAAAAACTTTACAAAAGATACCAATCAGTTGTCGCACATGTCCTTTACCACTCCAGTGATATGAGTTTCATAACTGCTTGCGCAATTCTCTGCAGTTTAAAGTTTCATGTTGTCTGCACATGTACTTTCTTTGGAGACACCATTTGCCTCCTGACAAATCGGAAAATGACCAAGATAGTGACTGTAATTGATTTACATATTGTATTGACATATGACTGTTGACATTGCTTTTTAGTCTTCAATATTTGAGCGAGTCATGCTTTGGAAATGACAATAAATTTTTATTACCCAACCCTGGAGTTGTTTTGTTTTTCATTTGCCCAACCTTTTACTCACTTAAAACTTTGTTTACCCAACCCTTTTCTCTTCGGTGCTACGCCCCCCCCCCC